CTCTAGTCTGTGCTTCTCAGACTTTGATGTGCCTACAAATTGCCTGGGCATCCTGTTAAATTGCAGATTCTGATTTAGTACGTCTGGGGTGGGGCCTGAGATTTGCCTTCCTAACGAACTTCTGGGTGGTGCTGATGCTCTGGGCCACAGACCGCATGTTTAGCCAGCTCTGCATGATCTCTGCACCCAAGCTTCCATTATCTCTACAGTTCTGTGAGAGTCTGATCACCTGACACTTCAGCAAGACAGGAGGGTTCCAGGAAACATGCCGACCATGGTATTCACTGTTCTCATTCTTCATAATCATCTTCATCAAAAACCCTTTAAGTGCCTAATTATGCGTAACAGTTTCACATGCTTTACAAAAAGAACTAAATAGATTTGGTCCCTGCCTTATCAGATTTGACAATCTAAGACAGACAGAGAAATATGCATAGAAACAGTAATAAATATGGAGGCAGTAATAAGTAGTGAGCGATAAATATTCATCCAGATATGGAATATATTAAAGTGAAAAGGTTATGGATTTAGCATGGGCCTTAGAATATTTATTTTCTTACAGCTTTTGTTCCTTTTAAAATCTGGGAAACTGAAAAGATTGCTCTGCAGTTTTTGCTTAAAAACAAGAGGTTTCTGTTTCTATTTTACAGATGGGAGTGTGGAATGGAAAGGTCAGTTTCTGAGGCTTCTCTGGTTGTTGTTTTGTTTATTTTGGCTACTAACTTCAAGAGAAATATTTTGTCAGCACCACACGCCTAACCCTAATTCCCACATGCGGGTGTCTCAGCCTGATTTCTTGTTGCTCAACACTGTGTTTGTGGACACAGGCTCATTAACCTCAGCTCTTTCTACCCCAGGGCCTTGGGCCCATCACGTCATCCTCACACTGTCCTTGTGTAGCAGAGGAGGCAGGGCTGGACATTGTCGTCTCTGAATTGTGGGCAGTTAAGTGATGCGAAGAAGGAAATTGGTGTGTCCAAAGTCTCATGGTAATTAACTTACACAGGAAGTTTTGGATTTACTTCTCTTTCTTCTGTACACCTGCTGAACTGACCAAGGTCTCAGCTGCCTTGGTGGAGGAAGGGATCCGATGAGTGGCCATTACCAGCATTTTTTCCTGACAGCAGAACAGATTCCGTTCCTGGAGGCCAGGCCCCCCGCCGACTGGAGATTGTGGTCAGGTACCCATGGTGATGAGCAGGTTTGTTAGAACCGTATCCCAATCTAGCAGGGTGATGCCAGGTTTTCTCAGCTTGTTGATTTATTCTAGGTGAGAGACAGCTAAAAGAATTATCACAGATCTGGAAAATGGTCACATCTAACCAAAGGTGTCTGTATCAAATATTTACCAGTTACGGGATTGGAGACCATTGGTTTACACCTGCTTGATTCACGTAGGCGCATGTAATGTTCAGTAGTGACTCTGTATGTGCTTAGGGATGCAGAGAACACTGTACACGGGCACACTCTTAGGGGACAGCTGTGTGTTATCTAAAATGATGCGGGAGAATGAGGTGCTGCTTAGAAGTCAGGGACACTTGGATTTGAAATTTGGCTCTGCCACTCACTGGCTGAGTTACGTAACCTTTCCAGGCCTCAGTTTCCCCATCTGTAGAACCAGCATCATAATTGTCCAGATCCCATGGAGTTCTGGTGAGCATTACATGAGATGAGGACGTATGGAATGTGTAGCACAGGGTCTGCAAATAGTAAGATGGATGACCAGTAATGTTAGTAAATCATAATAAAACTGTTACAAGTGCCAGCATCTGAAATGGTTTGGGTCTTTCAAGAGAGTCTAAATATGGTACTGTTATAGTATTTCGTGTGTGCGTATTTGTACGGGAGTTTGTATCTGGGTTAATGAAAATGTCCCACTCTGTTTATTAGGAATAAAGCTGTTGTTGAAGCAAAGCCTGCATTAATTAGGCTCAACCTCGTCTTTCATTCTGTAATGTTGGATGTGGCTGTTGTTTTCCTTGTTTTGTGAAATTAACCACAAAGAGTGAAGGCAGTCTGCTCCTGTTACAGAAGATAGAAGACCCTGAGTCATTGTCATAGCGGGAAGCTAAGCCTTTACAAAACCACAATGACAACACGGTATATTTTGCATTAGTGCCTGGTAATAGATCTCTGTGGTGCATGGAATTGTGCAGGCTGGATTGAGAGAACTAAGTATCTGGTTGCCCCTTTGAAGACAATGAGAGCAAAGGGAGGTCTCTGGAACTCGGTCTCAGGAAGTGAGGGGATGCCGTTTGCCTACAGATGGTGTGAGAATAGAGCGGGGTGCTCGGAGGAGCAGCATTCTTTCCTAAGTGGAATCTGCAGCCTGCCAGCTATATTGTAGGGCTGCAAGGTGGACAGAGCAAGGGCATGAGGCAGCTGGCTGGAAACCAAGAAGCCAGAGTGAGCCGTTTAAAGTGGAGGATAGGAAGCGGAGCCCCAGGGAAGTCCCTAACCTCAGAAACCTATTCAATGGCACTTTTTATAGGGTGCCTGTGGCTTCTGGTCAGGTGGACATTGAGGCAGCTTGGCTCAAATGTAAGCCAGTTCTTCCTCAAATTGAGGGTGAGCATGAACCACCTGTTAACGTGAGGATTCCGATTCAGGAGGTGCGGGGTGAGGTCTGAGCATTAAAATAGATGATTGAGCTCACACAGGGCCGAGAATACAGCAGGTGCTCGATACAGGTGCCTTCCCGCCTCACTTCTCCCCCATCTGTGCCTTTTTGGATGCTCCCCATCCAAATTGCTGTCTTTTTCCCCTACTATGGGGGTTAGGGTATAAGTATCATTATGTTTTAATAAGTCTTCGTTCATTTGAGAGGAGTGATTCTCAACCGGGGGTGATTTTGCCCTTCGGGGGATATTTGTCAGAGTCTTGAGATGTTTTGGGGTTGTCACAGCTGTGGGGGGGAATGCTAGTCCCTCAAAACAAAGAACTATCCAGCCCAAAATGCCAGTGCTGTATATGTTACACTGGTGTTTACAGTTTATTTCTTCACTGGACTGTAAATCAAAGAAGGAGAAGATCGAGAAGGATGTGACAGGCTGAGGACCCAGGTTGGGACAAGTTGGAGGACCCACCTACCAGGTACCAGGATCCACTTAACTCTTAAGAAGCACACCACAGGTGGTTTCCAGCTTAAAAACAAGTGCTTTGTTAGATATTCATATCTATGTTAGCTGTTTAGCCTCTTAAAAAAAAAACCAAGCAAACAAACAACATGGCGGAGGCATGGAGAACTCTGCATGGGAGATGAGGATCATGGGATAGACGATGAGGATCATGGGATAGACGATGAGATATGATGCTGGGTGGGCTGGCAGGCATCATGGCAGGGAGCTTGTCAGACCACGCCAGGTGGCTTGGGTTTTATCCCAAGAGCTGTGGAGAGCTGTATGCGTGGGGTGCTCATGCTCTTGTCTGTACTGTACCCACAGCCTCTACATACTTCTCTTATTACTGATGTCTCTCTATGTTGTATATGTTTGTAACTGGGTCTCCTGAACTGGGGCTTATCATCTTTGCTGTTGTATAGTCCAAAGACTTATCAATAAGCATTTATTAGACAGATTTAGCAGCATCTCAAAATAGTGATTTCTCCGCTTTTAAACAGGTGCTATTCCCAAACACTTGATTCTGACACAGTAGCTTAGAGCTTGAAATGCATCTTCCTGGTTTTCTAAATGAAGGGTTTTCAGGCTGGTGTGGAAACTTTCCAGAACCCACAGTGTTGCTGAGTTGTAGTGCTTAGTGGTTCAGAATAGGGGATTTCCCAGTGAAAGGCCAGGAGAAGAAACTTTCCATTGCCTTTCGCTGTTGAAAGTGGACTCCTGGCAAATGTGGTCTTCACGCCTTTCCTCTTCCCCTGACGTGTAACTCTCCCTCACCTTCTATTGCACTTTTCTCTTGGAGCTCACGTCCAGGAGACTCTTCGACCACATGGGCGGGGGCCCGTAAGCTGGGATGGGGTTGGGGAGCTCGTGTCTTGCCTGCCGCTGGAGAGTCTGACATGGCAGGTCATGGAGGGACCGCCTCCTTGCTTGTTGTCAGCTTTCCTTTTCCCCTTTGTCTTTCTAACATTGCTTTGCTTTTCCTTTCTTTCTAAGAAATAACTTTCTTTTCCCCATTAAACTTTATCAAAAAAGAAAAAGAGTTGCGTTGATTTACCTCAGTGGATAATTTATCTGAGAACATTCAGTCTCGTTATTGGATCATTCTTTTGCTCCCAATGCTTTTGACTTCCACTTTGCGTATTTTAAGATGCCTTCTTAGATACACAGTCCACAGAAACAGAGTTTTAGATCTGAGATTACATTCCTCAAACTTGATTCACATATCCTCTTGGAAGTAGTAATCTTTGTAAGTGATAGTTTTATCTTAACCATAGGAAACCATGCTAACAAAAATATAGCATGTTTGAAGATGAAGACATAAAATAATATGGCTGAGTCTATTATAACAGTTATCACACAATTCTGTACCGTTTTGGTCCAGCCATCTTTGTTCTGGCAAGGCTGTCGTCTTCTTGAGACAGGCAGTTGTTTTTGTTTGTGTTTTAATCTGTGGTACCTTGCGCACCTCGAAGGGTCCAGGTTTGAGGTGTATGGTGCTAACCCATAGTTACTGTCAGTGTCTGGGAGAAAGAGGTGGAATGAAGCAATGAATCAAAAACAAAGCATGGGCATAATTATTAATCATTGAGAGCACATGTGGTTAATGCCATCATTTTTGCTCTCTTACATATTTAAAATTTGGGATAGTGTATAGGTCGGTGACTATATTTTAAGAGCAAGTTTTAACTTATGTTTTTCAACATTCTTTTTTTTGTAGTATTAAAGTACTAAAGGTTCATTAAATAGTTGTTTGTCCGTTGCTTTCTTTATTACTCAAAATTTTGATAAGTAAAGGAAAAAGTAATCATTTTGCCCTTAGTTATTGCAGTTTTACTCCAGTTCAGAGTTTTGAAATTGTTTCCTCTTGTGTTTCCTTTCCAGAAAGCACGAGGTCATTCTCTTATTTCAGCAGTTGAGTGAAACTTCAGAACAGGGAAAGAGCGATTTCAAGGTATTCATTTATCTGATTTATTCAACATTCTTGCTCATTCAAGCTTGCTTTTAGCTTAACTTTGTCCAGACGTCAGTAGTTTATTCGGGGACCCTGAATTGTAGGACTACAGACACAAAGGTTTGAAACTGAAAAATCTCTAGGGTACTAGCTAGTCCAATTTTGAATTTAGAATTTAGAACCGTGGGTCTTCTGCCAGAGAGACTGACACCAATGGTCATGCTTCCTGCAACATGGTGTTTCCCTTTGGTCAGTGATGGGCACAACCCTGGCTCTGTCTTGTAATACCTGTGTGAGATTGGGCAAAATGCCTACCTCTCTCAATCTCTTTCCTCATCTTTGAGATGGAGATAATAATTGGATACCCTCATGAGTTTCCGGTTCCATACACTGCTCACTACCTCTACCACCAACAACAAAAATACGTGAGGCTGCTTTTTACTGTTAATATTATTAGTGGTATTAGTAATCTCATTTAGTGCTGAGAATAAAGTTGTATCAAAATTCCTTAAGGACCTTGGGTCATCTTTGAATGGAACCAGATCCAAAATTCATGCAACCTAAATGAATGACAGGTTAACACAAAGACATTCCGTGTCTGATTTTAGCAATTGGTTGACTGCATGGTTATCAATTTTTATAATGAATCCTGAATTTTGAAGTCCATCCATTTAAAAGATTTACAGACCTCCAGCACTGTGACCTGGCTGACCCCTATCTATCATACATCATTATCCACTTCCTCTACAGGCTGGAAAGGAAGGGGTACATCTGGCCTGTGTGTTCCCAATCTCCTCACAGAAGGAATCTTGTGAAATAGGCCACTGTCTTTTAATGAAATCTTTCCTTCAACTCGTTGAGAAATTCTTTCTCTTGCCAGAGTAACACTTTCTTCCTAGAAAAGCAGAGAGTAATTTCGGGGTCATTTGGGTTCCCCTCTGAGGTCTTTCTAAATATAACTGCAGATCCTGGAAAACAGCCTGCCTTTTGTTAGTTAACTTAGTCTAAAGAATCAGTGCATTGAGAGCTTTGATGATCCTCTCTCCAAAATTGCCTTCCTCTGGTCTCTCAACATTTGACAAGAATCTCAATTCAGGGGTTAAATCTTGTTTTTCTCTAATGCACTTCCATTTCCACTAGAGCTGCTCACCTTACGTATTTTATTTGTGGGCCTGAAATGTAGAGCATTTTCCAGTGAGGGGAAATTAAGATTTAACTCAAGAATCTGTATATTTCAGAATAGATCTCAGATGTCTTAGGAGTGGAATCACAGTCCTCATAAGTTTCCGGAAAGCATTGTATTGTGTACTGCTTTTTTGTGTGTAGCTGATTCCTTAAATTTTACTATGAGGATATTTTTATAGCCCCCCCACCTTTTTTTTTTTCAACTTTAGCCCCAGATTTCCAGTTTGCTCTCTGCCAAATTCCTGACCCCAATGTTTTGGTTGTCCTCATTTGTATATCCCAAGCAGCTCTCAAAATTAATATGTGTACAATGAAGCTGTCTTCCCCACCTCCCTCACTTGTCCTCTCCTTACAGCCAATTCCTTCTCCTGGAATCAGTATTTCAATTAAAGGCGTCACTGTCGACCCCGTAACTCATGCCAGAAATCTACGTCCTCACGTTGCTTCACCCTCTGCGTTCAGTGCACACCGGATTGTGGGTTTAAGATAGTGTATGAAAGTTCCAAGAACAGTGATTAACACTGATGAGGTCACGTATTAACTGCCCGCTGTCACAGATGTTCACTGTAGATATCTTTCTGCTCGTCCTCTCCTCTGCCTCCCACTGTCACTGTTTTAGTTCTGGCCCTCATCAGCCCTGCACCAGTCTGTTTCTGGGGTGAACTAATATAGCTCTCTTCCAACAGACTGTCCCCATTCTAGCTGCCTTGCTGTCTAATTTATAACATGACTGCCTGCTCAGTGACTTCTGTGGGCCTTGTAACCTTGAGAATAGATCCAAATACCATGGTGTGGGCCTCCATGATCAGTTCTGTGCGCCCCTCCAGCGCACTGCCTGGCTTCCTCCACTTTGCAGTCTGTGCTTCATTACGACTGACTTCCTCAGGGTGTTCCAGCAACTTGTGCCCTTTCAGGCACACACGCCCTTGCACCCGCTGTTCTCACTTCCCAGAATGCCCTTGCCCCTTTTGTCTTGATAAATTCCAGTATGTCCTTCAAGATCCACCTCAATTTCCATCTCTTCTGAGAAGCCCTCCCTGATTCCCCCACATATAGCTGGGCTGCCACAATTCTTCAGTTGTATCTCTGATCACACTGTATTTAATTATCCACTTACATACCTGACCCTCTTATAGAAACAAAGCTTGAGGCTAAGATTTGGATCTTATTTTTGTATCTACAACATCTAATGAATGCCTTACACAAAGTAACACACAGCAGGTGCTCTAATTTCTTTAAATGAGTGTATCTCTGAAACTGTAATAAAGAATAAGATAGTATTTGTGAAGGGTAATCTGAAGCTGTGCTTTTCTCTGACTAAATAGAAGCATTTTTCTCCACAAATGATGTTTTGCCTTCTACTTTGCTTTTAGTATTGATGCATTAAAGAGCCACCAAAGCCCATTTCTGGCCCCTTTACCTCTTCTGCTCCCATCAGTACTAACACGGTGGCTGCATACTTTTGGAACTTGTAGTTGTGTATCATTTCCACCTTGGAAGTAGGTTCAGCCAATATCCTCGCCAACTTCAGTGGTCATAGAGGTTGAGTTTATGGTCTGTTAATTTAAGATTCAAAATTTAACTTACCCCAAATTTCCAGAGTTGTTCTTTCTACTTATCAGAAAGACAAGCAGCGATTACGGACGGCATCAGTGTCTGTCTGGTGAGCCGTGAGCCCTCATCGAAATCAACAAATGAGTGTGCTTCTTGAAAAGCAGCCACTAACACAATCTATGAGCAGCTAGAGGAAAATAATGGGATTCAGTTTTAATTCCAACCAATTCTGAGCAAGAAAGCAAGAGTGTTGGCTTTCTGGAGGGGCTTTGTAACCAAAGGTTACCACCAGCCTGTCAGAACTTTCAGTGACTGTCTCCGCTATGCAAACAGACTGGGTGTACGGTGATTGTGGGACTGGGCAAATGATGAGCTTAGCCAGCTTTTGTCTCGTGTTTGGTCTTTGGCTCACGAAGATGAGGTTAATTTCAGCGTAAGCTGTTAGCTTTATTTTTTAAATCAGGCAGTTTTAATAGCAACCTGCTGTGCTCTGAAAAATGTTTAAGAGCAGTGAGAAAGAGCTGAAAATAAATATGTTAAGATGTAAATCTTAGCTGTCTCTAGGCCAACAGTCAAGAAAATGCATTGCAATCAGTCTAATTAAGCTTTATCTTTTTTTTTGCTATCCTTTTCTGCATTTATTGTGTGTGAGTTTTCTGAGTTATAAAAGCAATATACATATTCGCTATAGAAAGTTAGAAAATGTAATGCTTCCAAGCAAGAAAAAAAGCTTCCCAATGAGGCCATCACCCAGAGAGAACCATGGTCAGCATCTTGGTTGTTAATTAGCCTTATGGAGTTCTCTCCAAGCAAACATACATACTTTTAAATTTTTGTTATGAAAGCTTTCTCGCACATGAGAGAATTCATTATACAGGGAGTTCTCATATGCTCACAATCTGTATTCACAAATTATCAAGATGTTGCCACCATTGGTTCATCCATCTCTTTTTTTCTATTTCCTTTCCTCTTTCCTTTTTTTGAAGTATCGGCTAACCACTTTTGAAAGGAGAAGGCGAATCCTGATATACGAGGACCACGGAAGGCAAGCATTTCCCTTCCCATTTCACGTGCCCTCATTTACCTTTTATTAGGATCAAAAAGTATGGTTTTTCACTTAGTATTACATTGTACTTTGGGGATGAGTAGCCTTAAAGCCCAAGTATGTCACATGCTGGATGGGTATTGATTTTTCCTCTTAAATCAATGTTTCCCTGGGGCATAGTTTTATTTATTCATAAAGCCGAGATGATGTCTGACAGGAGTTACAGCCGTGTAAATCTGTGGTGCGGGCACAATATGAAGAGCTTTTGTGAGACTCAAAAATCAATCCCGACGCTGGAAGGGTAACCTCATAAGCCTGGAAGAGTGCGTTGGCCATGCCTGTAAGTGTAAAGGGAAGATGTGAGCATCTGGTTGTTTCCTTCCTCTGTTTTGTACGCCACTTTTCAAAGGGACCTAAAAGAGGTGTAACTAAAGTTGGAACATCAGGCTGGTACAATCAACGCTTCAGCAGCCATCCCTTGTTGACCCCAAATGTGTCCACTTGCTGTCAAAAGCAGTGCTAGCCCTGTTGATCCAAACCCTGTAATTTTGCCTCATAGTGGAGGGGCCCCAAAGGGTGGGCTTTTCTACCCAATGGGCTGTTAATACAAGTGTTCACTCTGGGCTATTTCCTTCACCTTAGAACACTTTTGTGCACTTGGTGGTATGTTAAAGCATATATAATAGCTCTCTGGAGAGCTAGGCTGTAGAAGTCATGTGTAATTCTAGACGTTGTCACTTTTTGTTGATATATGTGTGTGTATTTTCTATTTTCTTACATTTTTAACCTATGAAAATTACTATTAGAATTTTTGTAACTTACAGAAAATCTGTGCCGCATTTTTTTCCCTAATCTTAAGTGATTTTTCGAGTGATTAAAAAAAATGCATCTAATGGCTAAATGTCACCATCTGGAATTTTACATATCAGTTTCTGTTAGCTGTCTCATCTTCGCGTGGTGGCACTGGTCGGGGAGTCAGACGGCCTAGACACTGGTTTTGTTCTTTACCCCCGGTGAGTGTGTGACCCAGGGTGAATTCCAGAACTTCCCCTGGCCTGTTTTCGTTTATATCATTGTTTGATTTGCTCATTTATATAAAGGTGTGAGAGTGTGTGAAATTGGTAGGCATTCCCTTGACTTCCATAGTCTTCACTATACCAGGACTCTTCTTTTTAAAAATAACTAGTTGACATTTAGGAAGAAAAAAAAAAGGGAA